AATAGAATAGAATAGAATAGAATAGAATAGAATAGAATAGAATAGAAACTCTATTGTCACTTTGAATGTACCCTAATCGGCATATATTAAAGTGAAATTTCAAAGGGTCACTACCTCCAGTATACACTACATAATATAACAGAATAAATAAATACAAAACAATAAAGAATTATGCATATACCCGCATATATTATATGTCACAGTGAAACAACACCATCCATTTCAGATGTATACCTGTACATGGTGAGGGAAATGAATCTTGCGAGTTTACTAGACAGATGGTATAAATATAAACTGTGGGGAGTCAAATTTAATGTCAATTCACTATTGGAAGGTGTGAGTGGGTGTGGGTTGATCATGTCCCTTCATATTTGGGGCAGTGGGTGACAATGAAGTAATTAGGAAATGCAGGTAGTTCCCATCTTACAACTTTTCATTTGGTGACTGAAGTTACAACAATACTGAAAAAAAGTGATTTATGACTGTTTTTCACACTTAATGACCATTGCTGCATCCCCATGGTCATGTGATCAAAATTCAGATGCTTGGCCACTGGTTCATATTCATGACAGTTGCCATGGTCCCCCTTGGCGACCTACTGACATGGAAAGTCAACAGGGAAGCCAGATTCACTGAATGACCGTGTTCCTAAACTAACCGCGGCAGTGATTCACTTAACAACCACGGCAAGAAAGATTGTAAAAGGGGGCAGAAATCACTCAGCCACTGTCTCACCTAGCAGCAGAAATGTTGGACTCGGTTGTGGTTGTAAGTTGAGGACTACCTATGGTAGGCAACCTGTCTTTTGGACAAGGAAGGGGGACATGTGGTTGTATGGCATCATGGTTTCCATAGCACCTTCTGAAATCCCGTCTCTTTCCTCCTGATTTGTTAGTGCTCAACAAGGACATCAGTACGTGTCGTACCATGACCATCACCGGGACTCTGAAGCGCCCTTCCCTGCAGGATGAGGAGAAGCTGAAGCTCAACCACCAGAAAGGGTCCTCCAACTTCAACAGTCTTCCAGCCAACGTCTCCAAGATGCATCTCCAGAGCTCCCCACACTACCTGGGCACCATCAACCTCAATGACTTCAGCAACCACACCTTGACTTTGAAGAAGGACAAAAGCCAACCTCCCAAATCCATCTACATCTGTGATGGAGATATCTTCAAAAAGCTGGATTCGGAGCTCTCGCGGGCACAGGATCAAACCAGGGACACTGGCTATGTCATTCTGCCCACCAACACCTCCACCTTGAGGCCCAAGCCGCCACCACCGCCACCACCACCGCCGCCACCGCCGCCGCCACCCAAGGATGACACCAAGTACAGCATCAACATTGACCAGATGCCCCAGACAAGACTCATCCACCTCAGCATGGCGACAGATCCGGGCTTTGTGGTCAAGAGCCCCCCAAGAGAACCCCCAGGGATCAGTTGTGCAGAAGGGCAAGCTTCTTCAATGATGCAGCAGCAACCCTTGTCTCCTCCCTTGGTCAATAAATCCATGGACCCACAGATGCCCAACAGCTTGTGTGACATGGTCAAAACCAGTAATACTGGAATTGTGACCAAGAATGAGACAGTCGCCACCCTCTCCATGAGCTCCCTAGAAGTAAGTGGCTGAAAGTTGGTGGCCTTCTCCATACTTGGGTTGGAGAGGTCCTTAAATTCCATTCTTGCTCACTGAAATGATTATTTTTAAAGCAGAGCTACACAGAATAGGACAGATCTCTCTGATCTGTTTGATCAACGTTTGATCAATGTTTGAGAGGCTACCACAGAGAGGAAGGGGTCAAGCTATTTTTTAAAGCACCTGAAGGCCAGACAAGGAATAATGGATAGAAACTGAACAAGGAGAGATTCAACCTGGAAATAAGGAGATATTTCCTGACAGTGAGAACAATCAACCTGTGGCACAGAAGTTGCCTTCAGAAGTTGTGGGAGCTTCATCACTGGAGACTTTCGAGAAAAGATTGAACTGCCATTTGTCAGAAATGGTATAGGGTCTCCTACTTGGGTGGATGGGGGGTTGGACTAGATGACCTACAAGGTCCTTTCCAACTCTGTTCATCTATAAATTCTTAAAACAGTGGGGTGCAATCTTATTTTGACCCAGATTCCAAGTGGTAGATGATCCAGTGTTTGTTTTAGGACAAGGAGTCTCCAAATTGGTGACTTTAAGACTTGTGGACTTCAACTTCCAGAATTCCCCAGCCGGCATGGTTGTTTTGTAGATTAACTGAATAGCAGAATAACAAAATTGGAAAGGACCATGGAGATTTCCTAGTCCAAACCCCTGCTCAAGTTTTAGAATATAAGTTAAGACTGGACATTTTTTGTCAATGAATTCCAGCAGTATCAGGCTGTGATTGCACTCCTAAAATGATTTTGTTAATTAATGTCCTTCATTAATGACAATCATTTGCTATGCATGGAATGTGCTTCCAAAGTATTTTACATTTATTAATTTTCCCCACTTATCTCTCCTAATTATCCTTCAAGGGACAAGAAAGACCTAGGTAGCATCTTTCTGATATTATCTCAATTGATGCTTTTGTGCATCCCAGCTGGGTGTAAATCTCAGCCCTAGAACCTCATCATCACGTTGGACCAATAATGCAGAAATTGGGGTGTTTTCTGGGGGGTGAAATATGGATAGTCATAATGGAAGAAATGTTTCTTATGGAAGCCTGGGTAGAAGCCAGTTGAGTCTCTCCAGTTTTCAAGTCCCTTTGCTTCAGACATTTCGAGAGGGAGGAATTCTGGGAGTTGAAGTCCACAAGTCTTAAACTTGCCAAGGTTGGTCATAGTAGAGAAAGTTTACAAAGAACGTAGAATCATAGTGTCTTCTAATCCAACCCCCTGCTCAGGCAGGAGACCCCATGCCATTTCAGACAAATGGTTGTCCAATGTCTTCCTGAAAACCTCCAGTGATGGAGCACCCACAACTTCTGAATGCAAGTTGCTCCAATGGTTAATTATCCTCACTGTTAGGAAGTTTCTGTTAGAGTTTGCAGCATAAATTCACGCCCAGAAAACACACAGACTGATTCAGCAGGATCATTCACTTCTTTATAAACATATTCATATGAGTAAAGTTTACAATACCATTTGTAGATTCTGTCAACGTAACATAGGCAAAAACACAAGCACCACCAGCAGCAGCAGCTCAGAGCAGATATCGGTTTCTGCAAGCAAGCAAGACTAGTCTTTCACTTTAGAGCTGAGCACAGGACAGAGATGAACCACACCCAGATTCTCTCTTTAAGTTTCAGCCCCCAATTCAGCTGTCATTGGCTGACCTCTAAGCTCTTTTCCAGTTCATGAATATACTCTTGACAGTTTCTCCTTAATTCCAGGTTGCTTCTCTCCTTGATTAGTTTCCAACCATTGCTTCTTGTCCTGCCTTCAGGTGCTTTGGAGAATAGCTTGGCTCGCTCTTTTTTCTAGTGGAGCTGAGAAACTTTTAACTGGCTCTCCCAAAGGTGCTTTTTCAAAACGACTTTCTTGGGCTTTTTCCTTGAAAATATTTCGTTTCTCATTCAAGAAGCTTCTTCAGTTCTGGCTGAAAGGCGGGGAATGGAAGGATTTATATTCTGTGCAGTCATCTGATCCTTAGTACTCTGAAGGTTGATTGTTAGCTCTCTGAAAGTCCTTGAGTTCACTTGGAGGTTTATTTGTGTCCTCAGAGTCACCTGAGTGGAGCAAATAGGTGTTCAACCTTCTTGAAAATGCTGAAAGGTTTGTGTTGTAGACAGAAGATAAGGTAAAGGTTCCCCTTGCACATTCTGGCTCTAGAAGGCGGTGCTCATCTGTTACAAAACCAAAGAACCAGCGCTGTCTGAAGATGTCTCCGTGGTCATGTGACCGGCATGACTAAATGCCAAAGGCGCACGGAGCCCTGTTACCTTCTCACCAAAGTGTTCCCTATTTTTCTACTTGCGTTTTTTATGTGCTTTCAAACTGCTAGGTTGGCAGAAGCTGGGACAAGAAACAGGAGCTCACTCTGTTACACGGCACTAGGGATTCGAACCACTGAACTGCCGACCTTTCTGATCGACAAGTTCAGCGCCTTAGCCACTGAGCCACCATGTCCCTTGAAAGACAGAAGATAGGTGGTGTCATAACCTTCCCCCTCTGTTGAGCGAGGCTGCTTAATTTTTAACGTAAATGTCCTCTTTGACCCCTATTTCAAATCAGTGGTCCTGTCTGTTCAGAATATGGACTTTGTGTCTTCAAAAAAGCATCTTGGATGAGAAGGGAATTGTTTTCAAGGGGAAAAAAAAATCAAGGAAAGTCCAGTTGCCCTTTGAAAAGCACCTTTGGGACAACCATGACCTGGATGATGGAGAATCTCTTTGAACATTTTCAATCAATCAGAATAGAGCTGGAAGGGACCTCAGAGGTCTTCTAGTCCAACCCACTGCTTAAACAAGAGAACCAGGGGTGGGATTCTACCATTTTGGACCGGTTCAAGTGAACCGGTAGTTCCAGTGAAGCGTGCGCTCACCGGTTGTTACACCGGTCAAATCCCACCACTGAATCACCACCACTGAGGAGAACCTATACAATTTCAAAGAAATGGCTCTTGTTAAAAGTCTCCGGTGATGAAGCACCTACAACTTCTGAAGGGGAGATGTTCCACTGGTTGGTTGTCCTCTCTGTTAGTTTCTCCTTAGTTCTAGGTTGCTTCTCTCCTTGATTATTTTCCATCTATTGTTTCTTGTCTTGGGGCTTTGAAGAATAAGTTGACCCTCTCTTCTTTGTGGCAGCCAATCAATCAGTCATTTTGACTGGCTCAGCCCTCCGGCGAGCTTCGGTGCCTGAAAGCAGGTTTGAATCTTAAGACCTTCCTTTCTAATCCAACTTCTTCACCACGCTGGCTTCCAAATATGTCCCTCACAAAGTCTTAATTCCCCCCTCCACACACACAATATGGCACATTTCATCTCTTGTCAAGCACTAATCCTGGGTCTTCCTATTCTTTTGGTTTTCAGAGGCGGAAATCCCGATACGCAGAACTAGATTTTGAGGTGAGTATTTGGGGTTCCTTCCAGGATAAAAGCTGGGCGATTTTCCTCGAAGAAGTTGTTTCATCTCCAAGTCAAAGTAGAGGCATTCAATGCAAACTTTCTGGAATGACCTGCATATTGGCCTACCCTGACCTCTTAGGGGTTCTGTTTCTTTAGAATAATATAGATAGATAGATAGATAGATAGATAGATAGATAGATAGATAGATAGATAGATAGATAGATAGATAGATACAGATACAGATACAGATATAGATATAGATATAGATATATATGTAGTCCTCAATTTACAACAGTTCATTTAGTGACTATTCAAAGTTACAATGGCACTGAAAAAAAGACTTATGACTGTTTTTCACACTTATGACCATTGCAGCATCCTCATGGTCAGGTGAACAAAATTCAGGTGTTTGGCCAACTGACATAGATTTATGAAGATGGAACTGTCCTGGGGTCATGCGATCCCCATTGGCTACCTTCTCGGCCAATTTTCAACCAGCAAAGACAATGGAGGAAGCCAGATTCACTTCATGAAACCTGATCACTTAACAATTGCAGTGATTTGCTTAAGAATTGTAGCAAAAAGGGTGTGAAACGGAGCAAATATTAACAACTGTCTTGTTTAGCAACATAAATGTTGGGCTCAATTGTGGTCATATGTTGAGGACTATCTTTAGTTAAGAACAAATTTTCTACTTGGCCCATCAATAAATATATATTTTTTTTAAATGAAAGTGGAAAAGGAGAGATCAGGGAAAGGATTGCTTATAAGGCTATTTGGCCACTTAAATATTCACTGCCTTGAGTTGTTTATAAAAAAAATTATAAAGGAGATGATAGATAGATAGATAGATAGATAGATAGATAGATAGATAGATAGATAGATATGGATGGATGAGGGAGATGGATGGATGAGGGATGGATGGATAAAGAGAGAGATAGAGAATGACGAGAGAGAAAGGGATGGGAGATGGATGGATGGATGGATGGATGGATGGATGGATGGATGGATAAACGGATGGACAGATGGATGGGTGAATGATGGATATACAGAGAGAGAGATTACAGAGAGAGAGAAGGATGGACTGATATGACGGATTAGACTGACAGACAGACAGATAATAGATGACAGATAGAAGGATGGATAGTTAGATAGATGTGGATGGATAGATGGATGGATGGATGAGGGATGATGAATGGATGCTGGATGGATGGATGGGTGGAGATAGATAGATAGATAGATAGATAGATAGATAGATAGATAGATAGA